AGACGCTTTGCCTCCTAGGCAGTTCTAGATCCTGTCAAGTGGACAGTCAGTGTTCATCATTAGAACCCCCTTCTTCAAGCCTCGGAAGCCGACTGACCACTATGTGGACATCGGACCTGCCCCGGGAGACATAGATCATCCCCACCCGTCATCAAATGTCCCCCTGTGCCAGGAACACCATCACATCACTCTGCTCTCAGAAAACATGGTCTAAGCCGTGGTTTTCAGGCTAGAGTTGGTAAAAGACATTGATACTAGCACAGGGCTGGGAGGTTGGTTCTGGTGCTGAATCTGGGGGTACAGAATGTGACCCACACACCAGCCCATTCCTCACCCCCAGGCACTCAGTGCTGAAAGGTGTACCCCTTGTCTAAAAGAAGAGCACAAACTCTTTATACACTGTATTTTGAAGGCAGAGCTCAGAAGCTCCAGTGACTCTAACTCAGCTGGCTTGATTCTCATTGGAAAACCTCGGGAAGCTGCCTGGATTAAAACGAGAGCACCGACCTGTCTCAGGCCAATCCCTCCAAAGCCCTCATTCCTTGCAAAGGTCCAAGAAGCCTAGTCAAGCCCTGTATACGGTATAGACCCTGACATTCTCATTCATTCAGACTGCGGCTCTGACCTTCATAATGGCCCGGAACAGGCACGCTGGGGACAAGGGTGACCCTTGTGAAAGCCACATTAGACAAAGAATTTGAACCCTAAAACTCATTGTGATTTCAATGCCATCCCGCGCATGTTCAGGCCCACTAGCCCCAATAAATCGCTCCTCCTCTGGTGAAGACTTTTCAGGGAGTTATTATGCAAAGCTGCCTAAGCAAGACGGAATTTATATTGAACCTGGCCATGATTTCTGAGCTGCCACTGGATGTTCTGATGACATACGCATCTCGGGGTTGAAGTCAAGGGACTGCCAAGGACAGGAGATTGGAGGCAGTATGATTCCTTCCAGTAAATAATGAGGGGAGAGGCAGGGGAAAGATGCTCTGAGGAGGAACCTAGCTTCACTAGTACCCAAAGGTCGCCTTTCAGATGGCATCTAGATGTGACAAAATGAATCTCTCCTCTACGGGTTAAAGAATGTATTGAATGTCACCAACTTTCAAACATCAAACAGCAGCAGGAATGCCCCCTTCATGTAGGGTGGCTCTGACCCAGAAAAGAAAACACACCCGCAGAAGAAACTTCATTAAGTTAAAGGATGGTTAGTTCCTTAGCTGGGCATCATCGCACACCTGCGATCCTAGAACTCAGGAGGTGAGGCAGGGACAACTAGAGTTCATGAAGCCTGTCAAAAGGAAAGAAGAGAGGAAAAGGAAAGAGGAAGGGGGAGTGGGAGAAAGAAGGGGAAAGGAGGAAAGGAGGGGAAATGTACCAAGAAGGGGAAAGAAAAAGAGACAAGAGGGGAGGGAAGGGGAAAAGAAAAGATGTCTAGATTACCTATTCCACAGCCTGAGTCTCTGATGAAACCCCAGGAGAGGACCGAGATGTCCCCTGAGTGTGACCGCCATAGGAGTGGCTAGCTCACCAATTAGACCATCCTCAGACTAAGAGAGCTCAGTCCGTCTTTGCTGCTGAAGGACACGAGCCTCGGCGCTGCCCTCCCGAGAAGAGGGAATACGGTCTGGCATTTAACACAGCCACAAAGAACATGTTCTTCCACAGTCGACTCTACGCTGCTGCCCAAGCGACCTTTTCAAAACAGAAACCGGACCATGACATTCTCTCCTCTTTAAATCCCCCCAGCACCTTCCCATAGCGCTCAGAATCAATCCCAACTCCCTCTTGGGGCTACAGAAGCCCAGACTGTTGTCTTTCCCCACTTCATCTGGTCTCCTCATGCTGGGTTCAGTTTCTCTGTACCTCCTCCTCTTCTAAGATGTTCTCACCTCAGGACCTTTGTCCCTGCTGCCACCTCCACCCTCGCAGACTTCTCCCACATCTTCTGGCAGGATTTAAATCCATTATGGAGAGTAACCAACCCACCCCACTCCTTCCTTCCTGACCCCTGGCTGTCTCATCTCCTACTTTAGTTTTTGTAACACTTTCCAGTACCAAAATTCTCTTTGCTGAGTCAGACTCATTGGCGCATGCCTTTAATCCCAGTGGCATGGGAATCTTTGCGAGTTCAAAGCTACCCTGGTCTACATAGAAAGTCCTAGGCTAGTCAGAACTGCACAGTGAGACTCTGTATATCAATAATAATAATAAATTGCTATTATTTAAATTTTAATATTTAAATAATACAATGATTATTAAATTTGTAGATTTAAATAAAGATAATTAATTAACTAAAATTTTAAATTAATAAAAACTGTCTTTGTCTCCTGATTGTCTCTGTGCAATTAAAAATTAACCCCTGTGCAGCCAGGGCCCAATCTCTTCAGATCCCCTGTACCCAACACAGGAGTTGGGCTCTAGGAAAGTACAGGTGGAATCACTGAATAAATAATAAAAGATGCAGGTAAACTGGAAGTCAGAGCAGAGGCCCCCAGGACTTAAAAATGAGGAGTGCAGAGATGCCTTCCCATTTCTGACCATCCCCCGACCCGACCTGCCCAGTACAATGTGCACAGGACAGTGGGCCTGTCTCCAACTCCACCGTCTCTACGTGAATTTTGCTCATGGCCCCACAATGCCACCTATGCACCCCAAACTCTGGAGCGAATCCTGGTAAATAGTGCCCATTTATAATGTTGGCCATTGCTTTATATGCCCAAAGGGATAGTTCATGCTTGAAATCAGTACTGCAAACCGCAAAATCAGAAGATAGTCTCCAATGTGACCATTCTATTTCCCTTCAAGGGCCTTCCTCTAAATTAACCTCCTCTGAGGGTCCTGTCCCAGGTTGCTAATCCGTGTCCTTGTTCTGAGCCCCAAACCTACGGGTAGTGCCAGGGGCACTGCAGGCTGAGGGTGGGAAAAGGCTTGACAGGAAATCAATGAGAACTTGAAGGTTATCTGGAGGGCACAGACTCCCCAGCAGGCACCTGCTGGGATGGGATTTGTGGTCCTGACCTCGCTTGGGGGCCTCTGCCCTCCTGTCAGAGTTGGTTAGGATCAGCCGCAGAAGCAATGCCCTGTGCACCAAGGGATCTTCGGGCTGCCCTTCTAAGGGACATCCAGACAAAGAGGCGTCTCCTTCTGCCTGCCACCCGGCTCAACAGCACCCCGTGTTCTCTCGTGAGGCTCCTAAGGAAATCATCCCCAACTTGTCATCTTTAGAGGTATATACTTATAAATTCCAAAGTCTACGCTGGACTTAGAACCTGACTGTCCCGTCTTCACTCACAATCTTCATCTGTCTCTTCCTGCTACTTTCTTCTCCCCCATCTCATTCACCTCACCAAAAATCACTTAATTAGCACATGGGATAGGATCAGAGCCCTCCGTCCAAGCCTCCAATCCAAAAGCTGAACAAGAGTCTAGGGTAAAAACCAAAAGGAAGGACTGAGGAAAGAGTTGTAGCGTGCTTACTGCACACCCTTGGTTAACGCGTCAGGATGACAGCACACGCTGTGACCCCACTGCTGGGGAAGCAGAAACAGGGTCTTCCTGAAGCTCCCCGGCTCGCCAGTCCAGCCTAAGCACAGACTCCAGGATCTATGAAATATCCTGCCTCAGCAAATAACATGGGGATGACCGAGAAAGATACTCAACATTAACCTGTGGCCTCCACATGCCCCTGTATACACACGTGTGCACAACTAACACACAAAGATAAATGGAAAAGAGACACAGCCAGCATGGTTTCAGGCTGGTAGGATGATGGCGATAATAGCGGCCCAGCTGAGCCGACTGAGCACACACTAGGTGTTTCATGTGGTTTGCATGGATCATTTTATTTAACCTCATTCAACCCCACATCATCATCACCATCATTATCATGATCCGACTATACAGATTTGCAAACCGTGGTCCACAGAATCCTAAGCAACTTGCCTTGGGGTCTAGTTGGCACTAGGAAGATGCAGGTCCAGGAGACAAAGCCAGAATAATCTCAATGACCCGCCCTTTCTTGGAAGTACTAAGTTTTTCTCAAGTATCATCACAGACTTGCTGAGTAATTTCAGTTTTTTCATTGCTTTATGCCTCAGTTTCCCACACCACCCTAAAGCCCAGCGCTGCCTCTCAGTAACTCGCGGGTGGCTGGTTGGTGGTAGGAATTCCTGAAAAGAGAACGTCAGAGAGCTATCTAGAGAGGTCTTCATCCCAAGAGAGAGCCAGAGGCCCTGGACTGTGGTCCTCGCATCTCCTAAGAGACAAAGGGCTTCCAGCCTGAACTAAAGCGGGAACTCAGACATCCCAGAGTTCTAGAAAGTGCCTCATTTCCTCCCTGGGTGCAGGGACTCAAACGTGGGTTCTTTGGAAGAACCGTATATGTTCCTAAGCACTGAACCATCCCCCCACCCCAGTCCCTGCTGCCTAGTTTTACTGGGAAGAAACTCAGCTGCTGGTGAGATGACATGATCTGCCCCTGGCACCCAGAGTGGGGACCAGCATGAGCTCCTCAGACCAGGCTCTCTTCACTCGGGGCTTTTCATACCATTTATAGCAGGTGTCTGTAGACTACAGACCCTGAACCAAAATCTGACCCACTATAAAGCATTGCAAATAAAGTTTGATTGGCAGAGCCACGGATAGACGTTTCCCTGATCCATGGTTTTGTTTTTCACAACTCAGAAATATTCCACGGACATTCTAAAAAACAGGCAAAGCATAAGTTTTAATTTTCAGGCCATTCTGAGGTGTGTGATGAAATTTCATGCTGTCGTGTTTGATCCAGTCCAGAACGTGAATCATCCCCTTCTCTAGCATCGCCTCACCCTTACATGCCACCAGCCGGTAGCTTAGTAACTGTCACACTGACATTTATTGTCATCCCAATTACCAGATCAGCCATCGCAGGATCAGTATCTAGTTATTGTTCCAATTTACTATTGCTTATTGTTCTTAATATCTGCTTGGCCTAATATGTAAATTAAACTTTATCACAGGTTTTAAATACTTTCTCATTGTTATCATCAAAGTCTCAAGCGGAAGAAAATTAGAAGAAGAAGAATTTGTCTGCCTATATAGTTGGAAGAATCTGTGGGGAAGGCCTGGAGGCAGGAGCAGGAGGTGACGGGTCACATGACATCCACAGTCGAGAAGCAGGGAGCAATGAACGCCGGGGCTCAGCTCACTTTCTCCTTCTTATTCTGTCACAGACCCCAGCCCATGGGACAGCACCATGCACATCAGGGTGGATCTTCCTACCTCAGCCCAGTCTAGAGACATCTCAGACATGCCCAGAGCCTTGTCTCCTAGATGAACCTAGAGCCTCTCACCTTCACAGTCAAGATTAACCATAACAGGGGCACGTGTGTTAAGGAAGGACGGCGGTCTATATGACCTCTATCTAAGCTTTCAGGCATCCACAAGGGAGCCTATTATGTTGTCAACAGAGACCCCACGGCATGCAAAGCTCCAAACATTCCCCATCTGGACCTTTACAAGCCAAGTGCACTGGCTCCCAACTTCCAGCATAAACCCTGAATAAGGCAGACTTTCCATCTTCACATTGGGAAAAAAATAAAAAGGGAGGTCTTAGAGTCATACAGCTTAAGCAGATAGTTTTACAATTATCTCAGCTTGGTACAACTTAATAAAAACCCATAAACACAGCTAATAACAAGGAAAACACGCAGTAGCTCACCCTGCCTACTTAATAATCATTGTTAACTACAGCAAGCAAAACATCACTGAAAATTAATTTTTTTTCCTAGGCTCCCTGGAAAGCCCTTTGTCATTTTGGAAATGCTGCTGGCCGCTGGGTGACACAGTTCACAGCTTCAAGGCCTTTGTTTCCTCCTGGTGAGTGGAAGCCTGGCCTGAGGTAGCTAGGGAGTGAGTGCTGCCCTCCCCGTGGGGTGCCCTCCTAGAGCTTGGGGCTGTCTAGGAGATGATGCCTAGAGCTCCTTGCCCCTCACAGTCTACAGATCGTTTTTTGGAAGAGCAGGGTATGGCTTAGGGTTGTGGGGGTTGGGGGCAGGGGTGTGGTTGTGGTTCTGGTTCTGGTACTGGCTCCTTCCCACTTAGCTATGCCCTTCTCTCCAGAAGCAATCAGGGGGTATGCCTGGCTCCCAGTAGCCTGCTGCTGCCTTCCTTCTCTCCACAGGAAGAGGCCTGTCCCTGAAGGGATGAGACGGGTAACAGGGTGAAGCCAGAACTTAGTTACCCTGCATCTTCAGTCAGGCTATAACCTCCCGGCCCCTGTCAGATGCAAAGATGTAGCGTGCCAAGACACACTGGTGAGAGGCAGGTGAGGGAAGGCGGGTAGAATCACATGGGCCAGCCTGTCAATCACATCCACCCCAGGAATGCCGGAGTTGGGAGTCTGCAGGTGGAAAGCTTCATGGTGCGATGGCTAATCTTGGTTCCCAACTTGGCCACATCTGGAATCACTGAAGACACAAACTGCTGGGAGCTATTGTGAGGGGTTTCCCTGAGGAGAGTATCTGAAGCCCGAAGACCCACCCTGAGTCCGGGTGCCCCCTTCTGATGACAGTCTAGATCAAAGGACGTGGAAGATGGAAGCTTTGCTGCTGCCCGCTTGCCCTCACTGTCCCTGGCAAGTTTATCCACGCTGTCTCTGACGCTGTCCTTCACCGCCGTCAGAACCACCATCTTCAGGGTCGCCATGTAGACCAAAGATCAGCAGCTCTCCAGGAACGCGCTAGGACTCCAGAGTCAGGTTGGGACTGCTGAGATACCCAGCCTCATGGGCTGAGCAGCTATCGGATCCTTGGCCTCCCCAGTGTGAGATGGACATTTTTGGACTACCAGTGCTACATCCTGCAAGCCTTTAATAAATTCCCTTTTTAATAAAATAATATATGGCTATATATGCATATTTGTGTGTGTGTGTGTGTGTGTGTGTTCATTCTCTCAATATTCATTTTCTCAGTCCTGTTCCTTCAAAGGGCCCTGACTAATATGCATGGCTAGGAAAAGGTTTGCACAAAAGAGTCCCAGTTAGCAGCAAGGTCCCGTGCCATAATTATTGTTTCCCTCTCAAAAGTGCCCTTGCTGGGCTGATTGATAATTAGGTCCCTCCAACGGTAGATCTAGACCTCTGTCACCCCAACACTGAGGAGACAAGGCTAAAGAAGGCCCCGGAAGAATTGAGGTGAGTGGGAAGCTGTGCAAGCGATGGGGTGGGGGTGGGGGCACGGCATGGCAGGACCCTGAAGGAAGAACCAAAGGAGGAATAAAGAGGCAGGAGGAGGCCTCTGGAGGACAAGAGAGTGTAAGCCTCCAGCACCACCCCACCGCCATCAATACCTCCCAGGACAGGTTATCTCTGGAATTTATGCTCTCTGATAATTACCTTGCAGAGGGTTCCACTTATCTTATCCAAAGAATCTGCCAGTCGCCAGACACACAAGGTTCTAGTTAATTCCATCTTCCCTGCCCTCCACCTCTGTCTGCCGCCAGCTCCTGGCTCCCTTTCTCTCAGCTGCCCTTCACTTCTAACCTCCCATGTCCTCTGGCCTCAAATCTGCTTTTGCATCTCTGGACCAGGGAACATTAAGGGTAGAAGAATCTTAATAACCCCTAGCAGGTTTAAGGGTTTTATGTGGGCTCATGAAGGAATGAGACGGAGCGGGGAGTCACTTGCTGCTTACCTCTCGGCTGCGGTAAGGCCTAGCAAATGTAGATTGTCCCAAAGGCTATGGGGACAGAAAAAAAAGCAAAGATTTGGGTCCAGGGAGTTTTGCTGTTGTCATTGTTAGCTTCTGTCTTTACCTGCCTAATGCCATCAGCTCTGGTTGTTTTTCTTTCATCTTTCCTCTTTCTTTCTTGGCAGGGTCTAATGTAGCTCAGGCTGACTTCAAACTCAGTGCAACCAAAGACAGCCTTGAACTTCTGATCCCCATGCCTCTCCTTTCGAAATGCTAGCATTACAGGTGTGCACCCCCACACCCAGTTTTACGTAGGACTCGGGATGGAACCCAGGGCTTCCCAGGTGCCAAGCACTCTTCCGACTGAGTTACATCCCAAGCCCAACCCGTATTTTGCTTTTCTTACTCATTCTTCAAAGTCTGCCTCGCTTAAGCACGCTAAGGATACCGTTCATGGCTCCTCCCACAAACGTTCTACACACAAGGCCCACTGGTGCTGCTATCTCTCTAAATGTGTGTTGCATGGCTAACTGTGAGTCACTGAAAGAGTCTTGGCTTACAGGAGCAAGTCCCCCAAGGACAAGGTGACATTCAGCCACCCTCGCTGCGGGCCAGGCACTGTGATGTCTTGGGAATAGGACAAGTCATCGTTACAGCAACTGTGGGAGAGGTCCCGCCACCATCCCTCATACCCAGGAGACATCGGGTTCCAGAGAGCTGAAGCCATTAGCAAAGACCACCTAATACATGGCCAGGTCAGGCTTCAAACTAAGTGACCTTATCTCGAGTTCTGGAGTCTTCACCACCCGAACCCATACTAATTTTGCTGACTGATCAGAGAAGCTGGTGCTGTGTCCCTCGACATACATATGCCATCCTTCCTTTGCAATGGTGATATTTATTAAGGCAATCATAACATCCGCCGATAGCTAATGGCCACTAGACATATACTGGTGCTCAGAGCTTTCCATATAGAAATTACATCCTGGGGGCAAGCATAGTCAGCCCCACAATACACCCTCTGAAGCATCCCTTGGTCCCAGAAACACGAGCTTAGCCCTACCTCAGGACCTCCACACCTGCCTCAACCCATCACAGGGTCACTTACTCATCCCCCCTTCTCAGGACTGTCCCCACTCTTTCCCATCACTCAGGGTGGAGGTTGTTGGAGCACAACATTATTTTCTGCTTTACTTCATATCCTTCTTGCCCTGTAAGTACATAAGCTCTCTGGGAGAAAGACTGGTCTAATTTATTTACCCCTGTAAATAAATTAGTGTTCCCAGTCGCTAAGACTGGTTCGCAGCCTATAGTAGGCCAACAATGGGTATTAGCTGGCTAGATAAAAGACTAAATGTCTGCACTGAGTCTTTCACAAGCCATGCTGTGGATGTGTCTATCAGAGAGCATCAGCTCTCTCTTTCGTGCACACCCCTCTGTCTGCTCTGTATGCATCCATGGGCCTTTATACCTTTATCACCATGAGGTACTGGACGTTGCCGTCCTCGTGCCCCTTCTACGGATGGGGAAAGTGGAGCTCAGAGAGCCCGTGAACACACGGAAAATAAACCACTCTCCAATTCTGCCTCCTGAATCCATGGCAACCATATCTGACCTGTACTGCCTCCCGCAGAATCACCCAGCAACTCAGCTCTCTCTATCCAGACACCCCTAAACTGTCAGCAGCCTGGGAGTCCCCTTCTGAGCCCATCACCTCCCCTGTCTTCTCTGCCCTGGCTCTGTCCCCAGACCCCTCTGGATTCTCCGTTATCCCCCCTCTCCCTGCTCAGGGTCACAGCAATGTGCCCTGTAGGTCAGTTACTTGCCTCTTCCCCCTGTTTCAGTGGACCTGGGCCCACAGCAGGTGCTGGGAACAGACAGAGAGAGACGTGACAGAGTGGTTACTCCCAGTTCCCTCCTTCCTTGTCACTATGGGGTGGGTGTATCTGTCTCCTACAGGCCACAAGCCTTCTCCAAGCTGCTGTTCCAGTCACCTTCCCATCCCCCTTGGCCTAGCCCTTGGGTTCTGCACATCCTCTACTTTGGTTCCCTGCCCACCTTTTATCGTGGTCCTGTGATTAAATACGCCTTGGTTTGTTATGTCTGAACCTGGCACTTTCTGTTGGCACGTCGACTCTCCAAGACACTGACGTCACCCAGCCTCTGGAGCTCCTACAGTCTCTCCACCGCTACTTTGGCCTCCTTCCCTGCCCACTGCTCACTGCAGCCGCCTCTGCTGGGCCCTTCCTCCCTGCTTGGGATTGGCATTTCCCTCTAATACCTATAAATAAATGTTCATTTGCTGGTTTGAAGGTTTTGCCTTGGCAGCCTTGGCTTTTTGCCTAGGCTATAACCATACCTCTGTTAAAACTGAGGCAGTATGGGGTAGGAAGAGCAATATTCCACAAAAGTCCTATATAGACCACATTAACCTGTCTGCCAATTGCTGAAAGGAGACGTTGGGGTTCAGCACAGAGCTCCCCTATACCAGGATCAGAGTCCCTCCATGCAAACTCCTGGGGAACCCTTCAGATGCCATGCTGGTCACTCAAAGTCACCAACATTTCAACAATCATAGCACTGAATTTACTGATCGACTACCATGTGGGAGGTTGTGACTTGGGCTGTCACTCTCTAACATCCATTCTACTTTAATAGATGAGGAAATTGAGGCTCAGAGAGGTGCAGAAATGGAACCAAAGAACGAGGAGAATCCAAGTCAAGCCAGCAGACCTTCAGTCCCCACCAGTGCCAGCTCTGTCCGAGGGAGTCACAGGTTTGACCCCTGTGTGTGCATGCCACTCACAGGGGTCATCACCCGTGGCCACAAGACTGACTGAAGCAGGACAAAAGTCAGGAAGATGGGCGCAGAAGGTCCATGCTGGCGAAAGTCACACTTTTCAAGAGGCCCGCCATTGTCTGATTCCAGTAAGTCCTGATCAGCCAGCATGTGCCCGCTGCTCCTTTCTGTAAAGACGGCCAGTAGTCATGTGTTCATGCCAGACACACACTGGCCCCACAGCATCACACGCTGCCAACACAAAGCCCTCCACATCATGTTCAGGAAAGTCACAAGAAACTCCGAGGAGTAAGAGACAGAGTGTCACAGAAATGAAGGAGGGCTTCCTGCCGCAGGCACTGCCAACCAACTGAGCTGACCCAAGTCGAAGTCCCCCTTGCAGCCACACCGGTCAAGAACCAATGGCTTTCTGTTTTTATCTTCTGGAGACAGTAGTAAAAATAAGACATGTCTAGTGTTGGGGGCCATTGTTGGTGGCACTTGTAAGCGTGTGTGTATGACACACACAGAGAGAATGCACTACTCCTCCCCAAGCCAAAATAGCCCCTACTTCAGCCTTGGCTCTCTCATCAGCTCCTGGAGTACCATCTGACTTTGGTCCACATGACTGCTGGCTGGCTCGTTTCCATGGGGATCAAAGCACTCCTGGGACCCAGCAGCATAACTCCTGCTCCAGTAGACCATCCCACCCTCCCACTGTGTCCCTGTCTGGGAGTGTGATAGAACAAGGTCAAGTGGAACCAGTGGTTTACAGTGTCACCTGACAAGATGGTGCCATAACCACAGAGCTATAACACACCTTCCCCTCCCTCTTCAGTCCAAACCTTTAAAAAAATTACTGCTGAATCACAGAACTGGGTGTCGGGGACTGGGACTGTATCTCAGCATATAGAATGCTTGCCTAGCACACACAAAGACATGGGTCCAATCCTCAGTACTGCGTAAAACCAGGCATGGGGATGTACACTTATAATCTCAGCATTGGGAAGTAGAGGTAAATATGTCAGAAGTATAAGATCCTTCTCAGTCACGTGACAAGGTCAGTTTGGATTGCGAGAGACACTGTCTGGCGGAAGAAGGAGAAAAGAAAAGGAAGGGAAAGGAAAAGAAAGGAAAGGGAAGGAAAGGGAGAGGAGGGAAAGGATGGGAAGGAAGGGGAGGGGAGGGGAGAGAGAGGGGAGGGGAGGGGAGGGGAGGGGAGGGGAGGGGAGGGGAAGGGAAGGGAAGGGAAGGGAAGGGAAGGGAAGGGAAGGGAAGG